CGGAATATTTTACATTTGCACGATTGAAACAGAACGAGGTAACAGAACGGGTACACGATGGCCTCCGGTCACTATGTTATGAAATAGATAGCAATTACATACAATCGTTGTATGATTAATGCACTGGATCGTAATTACAATGTATTTCCTCGAAAAGAGCAGTGTTCGTAAAAAATTGTTCTTTAAAATTTTTTCTATTGTACATTTATCTTCTTCTTTCCCCCTCCACCCCTCTTTATATATACAATTTATATTCGATACACAATACTGACACGACTTTAATTCTTCGCACGCCGGCTATGTTTTAAAGCGGAAAATTTAATTTTTTTTTAGAAATTATTGTTTATTAATTTTATATTATTTAGATTCTCTGCTGTTGTTAATCTAAGATTGACAAAATTAAAGGGAAGAGTATGCTAATTTTAGTAATCTTTATTATATTTATATATACAGGTTGTCCCTGTAATGTGCGAATCAAATATGTACTATAGCGTGAAAGTGTTCAACAAGAAATAAAGTTTTTTGCAACTTTTCAATCCAAGCAATAGTTTTTAAAATATAATGATTTTAAACTGGCGAATCAAACTGTGTAATTAAGCAGTCATTTGTTTTTTGATGAATTGCGTGCATGACAATATTAATGACCAATTAACCATACAGCTTGATTGGTCAATTTTAAACTTTTATATTTCAAAAACTGCTACTTTGATTGAAAAATTATACAGAATTTTTTATTTTATTTTTTGGAAACTGTTATGCTATAGTATTTTAATTTGCGATTTACGGGAATCCTGTATTTAATAAAAGATCAAATAATTTTTTGTTGCAATCAACGTTTTTTTTTATTTTTTTTGTTTTTTTTTTTATTTTATTTTTATTTTTATTTTTTTATTTTTTTTTTTTTACAATGGAGTATGATACCATCTAATCTGACATATCAACAGAGAATTTATTGTCATTATAATTAAATATGACTTTCGACTTACTGCAATCTTATTCTTTTTTTGTAATGGTAACAGTTTTAGTAGAACGTTTTGTGGCTGACGAATACAGTAAGTAACATTGAAAGCTATCCACTTGGGTACTCCTATCACTTTCCAAGCTGTTTCCTTCTACCTACTTAAGGTTTTCTCCTATTCTCGTAAGTTAGATCGGTAGATAGAGAGGGAGACGCCCAGCGGGAATATGTTGCTGATCGTGAGAATAGAAAAAGAATAGAAGTAGGTAGAAGAAGATGACACTTGGAAAGTAGTGGAGGTATCCGAGTGGATAACTTTTAATGCTCCTAACTGTACATCACACTTATCTTTACATTTTAGCAATGTACAATAATTTTACTCTTATTCTTTTTGCAATTAGTTCTTGCTGTAACTTTTTTCAAATTATTTTTTCGAAACGTCGCAATAGCTTGCTCGAATTGTTTTAACGAAATGTATATCTCTATCAATTAATTTTTCCGCTAAATCAATTCTGGAGTACCTGGTGTCAGCACATAAAGTGTGTTCTTTTCCAAATATGTTTTTACAAAACGACATAATAATATTTAAAGGTGTTGTTTCTTCCACATTTATTTTTTATGCAATATATAATATAATACATCAAATTAATAAATGTACTTAAACGAGGAACATAATTTAAGAGATTTGGGCTGTGCGAAGGATAGTCTAATATTTATCGTTCTTCGGCATCCAATTTTATCAAATATCTTATCTTAAAAAGAGCATAGAATATTTTCATTGTTATCTCTTTTTCGCGATGCTGATTGGTTATTTCGATGCGTGTGTGCATTACTTCGTGCTATCGAGCAGTTATCATTAGTATCGAAAGTTGCATATTTTAACAGTTTATATCTTGAGAAGGTTAATAGTTTATTACGTTTAAAAGAAAAACTAAACGACGTAGGTTCTTTTGCTTAAACAGTTTCATTAATTTTTACACATGATTTATACGGCTTGCGATTAGTGCAGGTATTTTTTATGTTTTATAGAAAATACTTAAAGTATCTTCTTTGATACATTTCAGAATTCTTTGTTTAAATCCTTTCTGGACTCTATCAAAGACGCAACTCTACTGGTTTAACATAAATGCTCACTTGAAATGCGGTTTAATTATTTATGCCCGAATTATTCTACACTATACATTTACATAACAACCTAATCACAAATTTAACTAATTTTTATACGTGAATAACAGGACTTGTGTTAAATGCGAACGCTGTATAGTGCTGTTAATTGCAAGGATAATGATGGTATAATAATATTGTATAAGTAATGGTATTATTATATAATATTATTTTTATAAAAGATATAATTATAATATATATTTTTTGTAATTAAAAGAATAAATGGCGCGCATAGCGTGCACTTGTGTGTAGTCTAGTAAAAATAAATAGCACACTTTGTTTATACCTTCGAATACTTTGGTTACTCGAGAAAGTTTCGGAATAAAATAAAAAACGTAAATAGAAAAGTAGTTAAATATGGTAGAAAAATTAGCGATTTCTGAAACTTTTTACCGGTTCTTTAAAACCTATGTTGTTGCCATTTATACTTCAATCCGAGAATTTTTCGAACAAGCCACATAATATATATTAATTTTTTACTCATTTTTTTTATTTTTTATTTTTTTTCATAAATTTATTTTCTGGACATTCCATAGACAGATGTAAACATTGAGATCAGAACTGTTGGGTGATGGTCGCTGTCATTCATCATTTGTCAATTGATTTGAAAAAGATTTTAATGATTCGTTACGACAGCGCGACACATTGCGAGGCTCTTAACTCCGGACGTGTCGTGCCGTGCCTCTTCTCACGGCTGAAAATAAATTAACCGGAAACCGGTGTATGCATGTACACGAACGATTGTAAAACGATTGATAGAATTTAACTGTGTTATGTAATTAATGTAATAAAAAAAAATACTTTGTTTACTTTGCGCACTATCGTTTATTTGCAACACCAAAAAATTATAATCATAATTATTAATTTTTATCACGATAATTCCTATCACTTTTATAATTTTAGTAAACAGGAATGTATAATTATAAGATAATTTATAAAATTATATCTTTGCGCAATAATTACGTATCTTTGTATCGTAATTTCGATAAACAAAAATATATGGTACTTTTTCAGATAGAAGGCAAAATCCATATTTAATCTACCGGATCTTTCGTGGAATATCTGGCATAAATTGTTGTGGGTGTAATTAATAAATAAGATATAGATGAATAAGTACAACATGATATATTTCCTTACTTCATACATAGAAAAGATTTTGCTACTGCAGATTTGTGCGAGAAAAGTCCGCCTGTATCGCGAAAAGAACGACGTTCCCATAATTTACTTAGAAAATTCGCTTAGAATGCACTTCAATAAAACACATCCTGACTTTCTAAATAATAAGATAACTTTTTTTACAAGTGATACCTGTATTTGAATGTAAGAACGCTTACCCTTTATTATATTTACTTATTTCTTTTTTTATTCTCTTCTTATTTTTATCATCAGATTAGATATCTGTTATAAACCGATGCTGAGTTTTGTCTAGTATAATGCTGAACTACGATGACAGGCTGCGATAGCATTCGAGAAAAAGTGCTATCTAATCACTTCGCAATACCATAAATTACCGAAAAGAATTATCTACGCAAACAGCGTAAGCACATTTTGCTTTTAATGAGTTTGACAAATTAAGAATGTATAGATGATATGTTAAAATATGTATAGATCATAAGTTAAAACATTGACAAATCATAATAATTTCATGAATTTTATATTATTCTATTGTTTCCGAATACACAAAATCTGGGTATAATTTCTAATTACAAAATTATTTTATTTTTACATGTATATCAGTTCTTATAGAAAATAGTTCTATCAATATCTGATTACTCGGGTGATACCCGATTACCCGGTTCTAAATGATAATACTAATAGCAAATCATGTATTGCAATACCTTTCGACAAATTTAACAAAGAAAAAATACGTCAATTAGATCATATTTTTTGCACTTTTATAACAAATATTCGTGCAAAACTTTATTCGGTTTTCTTAACAGGTTTAAAAATTATGTATCTAAAACTGCAACAAAATGTCATTCTATTACATAACTAATTCTATTCTAACATGTTTTATTTTCTTTTTAGGTTTAAAATTTATTTTTGTTATCGATAATTGATTAGGAAAAGAAATATTGGCACATTACTGTAATATATTATTATTTTTTCGGTAAAAACATTAAAATCCACGTTAGTTTGTAGTGTTTTGTAACTTTTTACATAATTTATATCTATATTTATTTGATACTTTTATATAAAATAAAAAATAATTTTATTTTATAATGAATAGTTTTTAAATATGAATTATTTTTATCTATAATATTATTACAACCAATACATCTTTAAAGTTTGTGAATTCTTAAGAATTAAGCGGCGATGATGAAAAACGAGGATCTTAATTCGTCCTTACTTATAATTAAACTTATTTGGAATTAGTAATTAAGTGGTTAATGCCCGCAAACTAATAAGGTTGCAATTGATAAATCAGCACGCTTGCACGCATTGAACTCTAATCGATTTTTAGATATAAACTCAATATTACTGCAAAAAACGATTTTGCTGTTTAACGTAAAGTTAAACTTATATATATGACGTTCTCGAAATAGAGATGAGTTCAGGAAGCGATATTTCAGTTCAAGATATGAGAAAAAGCCTTAACAACATCATAGGGTCAAAAATACATTGTTTTAAAACCTAAAGAATTTATAGTAAAAATAAGACTGCAACTTTGATAACAACGCATTTCCGATCCGACGTGTATTGTGATCTTTTACCTTGTCTCGAAATTACCTTCCGAGCTAACAACCTCTATTTCAGAGTCTGTATTTATCATGGATTGTATTAGAGATTTGATTAACACTTTATTTCCTTAATAGGACAAGTAAAGTGATATCTACCGGTTTCGAATTTTATACATGGTATCGTTCTTTGCTTGCAGTTGCACTGTCGTCTTGTTCAATCCACGAAGGAACAGCCAGGCGCACGTGTTGAATGCCTGTCGCAAAACCGTGACTTCTCTGGCGCTCGCCGGGGATGGCAAGCTGTTGGCCACCGGCGAATGCGGTCACATGCCAAACGTCCGTGTCTGGGACATCTCCGACCCGCACAATGCCGTGCAGATCGCGGAATTTCCCGGGCACAAATACGGCATTAACTGTGTGGTGAGTTATTTTTCGCGAGTGTGATTTTTCAAGTCATTGTTTTCCGGCGATCGCCTAAAATGATATACTGTAAATGAAAATATATAGAACAAAAATTTTTAGAAATAAAATTCTGAAATCAAAAATTTAGAAAAAAAATTTTTCAATAAAATTTTTTTCCACAATAATGTTGAACTTAAAGTAAAATAATCAATTTGTAACGAAACGGCTGCGGGATCATTCATCCCTTCTTCTAATTAATAACATATTTTTAGTAATTTGATAATTTTACCTAACTTTATTTTTAAAAAATACTTGTCTCTGTTTTTTCTGAATACTAGCGATGGCCGAGAAGTTTTAAGAACAGTTTACAAGCATTTCACAAACATTCAGGTTCATTATCCACATTATCTGAGAATTTCTGCTGAAGAGAATTTTAAACATGATAATTCCTTAAAGATCGAAAGCATATTACTGTTACAAAGAAAAAACTTTTTGCGCAAAAATAACGTTGTGGCTCACATTAATTTTTAAACGTTTGCTTCAATAAAATAATTATTTTTTAACCAACACGTGTGGTAGTAAATTTTTTCTAGCTGAGTTATGCATAACACGCTATATGTAGGGCAATAATTTGCTATAAATTCAAAAATAATTTTTTCTATATAATTACCAAATAAAATTCGGGCTAATGAGTTTCTCTTCATTTAAATGTGATTTATAGAATTATTGATTATTGATTTATATATTTAATATTGTAATATATACAATAATGATTTTTATAATCGTTAATCGTTAAAAAGCATAAAATTTAAATTGTTCAATTTAAACTGTATGACATTTTAGACCTGTATATGATCTATACCAGTGCTCGGAATTAGTCTGAACATTTCAGCCGATTTCCGTG